GTTTCACCATGTCGGCCAGGCTGGTCTCAAACTCCTGATCTTGTGATCCACCCGCCTTGTCCTCCCAAAGTGTTGAGATTACAGGCGTGAGCCACCACGCCCAGCCAAGAAATTGCCGTCTCTAAGAGAAGGCTCCCCTGATCTGAATCCATTTAGGCCAAGCATGGACTGAGGCAGGAGGATCGCTTGAGGTCAGGGATTCAAGAGCAGCCTGGGCAACATGGTGAAACCCTGTCTCCACTAACAATAGAAAAATTAGCTGGGTGTGGTGGCGCATGCCTGTCGGGGTGCGGGGAGGCAGGAGGATGGCTTGAACCTGGGAGGCAGAGGTTATAGTAAGCCAAGATCATATCACTGCACTCCAGGCTGGGCAACAGAGTCAGTCTGTCTCAAAAAAAAAAAAAAAAAAGGGAAAATGCATTTAAAGTAACTTTAGAAAAAATGAATTAAGAACTTTTCCTTTCATAATTAAAAAACAGTGAACTGACTACCTAATAAAGCCAGCAGTTGCGACTAGGGAGCATTATCATGGCATAGCAGAGTTTCCCAAATTGTGGCTCCAAAGCCCCATGGATCTCTTTCAGCACATTGTGCAAGTCTTTGGCACAAAGTAGAAAGGAATAAGGGTGGAATTAAAAGTTCATATATAGTAGTAAGGATTTGGAAAAGAGATGAAGATACACACTCAAGGAAAATTAATGTCGGATGGATGTCAGCTGGGAGAGGAATAAGAACGCACTCATGAATAATCACTTTTATGGTTCTGCTTTAAAGCTCTGTTTCTGCTCAAATGTATTTTCAAGTGGTATGTTGCAAAAATAGAGAGGGAGGGAGAAATTAGCTTCTTTAAACAGGGACATCTGAATTCTGTGGGGCCAGTTTTGTAGGGCCGGATGAGGCTTATCATAGACATGTGTACTGATGCCCAGGGGAATGGGGGAGCTTAGAGCAAAGCAGTAAAATTGTCAGTGAAGCCATTAATTGAGAAAAATAACTTTATGAGGCTTAGCACGTGGGCCATGATGGTGTGCTTCTGATAGGCAAAGAGTCAAAGAGAAGTCTAAGGGAGAACGGGGAATTTGAAGGCCAATAAAAGTTGATGGTAATGCATGCTGACAAATTATCAGCACAGCCAAATATTTCCCCTGCTTCGAAAACAGGGAACCCAAAGCTAAGCCATGCCCCTGGGCTTTTGACATTAACCATCTGTCAAACACTAGCAGGGCTTGCTTAAGTGAAAGCATTCATTATAAATTAAAAAGTTAAAAAGTTGTGCTAATTAAGGCTGAAAGGAAACCCAGGGGACATTAAGCAGTGAGGGACAATTAGCCCTTCGTGAACGGGGCTCATGATTGTGCCTGTCTATTCTTGTGGTTTTTGTAAATATACTAATTATAATTGCTGTGTTTCATAGTTTTGATAAAAAGCATAAAGCATCATTAAATCCCCCCAAAAGTATGCTGCCATCTTTGACTCATGCGGGTGATGAGCTTCCTGGGAGAGCCTGGCTGTTTGAGCTACAGGGCGGGGTGTGGCTCAGGTCCCCTCTCCACAGGTGATAGTTTGCCCTCATCAGCTTCCTAAGTGATGCAAGATGACTGTGAAAATGAAGAAATATTGGATGTGAGGCAGAGAAGAGGAAATGGGTACCAAGGAAATCCAATCAGGGGAACAAAGGAAAGTGAGGGTAAAACTCTGGCCGTTGCAGCCATGGAGTGAATCTGCTACCCTAGACACAGCCAAGATGTGATTCCAGGGCAGAAAATCATGTTTTCATCTGATACATAAATGTCATCGGAAGGGGGTCTGGATCCAGACCCCAAGAGAGGGTTCTTGAATCTCATGTAAGTTCATAAAGTGAAAGCAAATTTATTAAGAAAGTAGAGAAATAGGTCGGGCATGGTGGCTCACGCCTGTAATCCCAACACTTTGGGAGGCTGAGGCGGGTGGATCACCTGAGGTTAGGAGTTCGAGAGCAACCTGGCCAACATGGTGAAACCCCATCTCTACTGAAAATATAAAAATTACTCTAGCATGGTGGTGGGTGTCTGTAGTCCCAGCTACTTGGGAGGCTAAGGCAGGAGAATGGCTTGAACCTGGGAGGCGGGGGTTGCAGTGAGCTGAGATTGTGCTACCGCACTCCAGCCTGGGCAACAAAGCAAAC